TGAGATGAGGGCAATTGTGCGGTAGTTTGATCATTCTTTGGCATTGCCTTTCTTTGGGATTGGAATGAAAACTGACCTATTCTAGTCCTTTGGCCTCTGTTGAGTTTTCCAAATTTGCTGGCATGTTGAATGCAGTACTTTAACAGCATCATCTTTTAGGATTTGAAAGAGCTCAGCTGGAATTCCATCACCTCCACTAGCTTTGTTCATAGTGATGCTTCCTAAGGCCCACTTGACTTCACATTCCAGGATGTCTGGCTGTAGGTAAATGATCACACCATCGTGACTATCTGGGTTGTGAAGATCTTTTTTATACAGTTCTTCTGCGTATCCTTGCCTTCTTAATATCTTCTGCTTCTGTTAGGTCCATACCACTTCTGTACTTTACTGTGCCCATCTTTGCATGAAATGTTTGTTCCCTTGGTATCTCTAATTTTCTTTACTATTGTTAGACAACACTTATTAGTGTTATTACTAGTGTTAGACAACACTATATATTGTTAACAACAGTATCCGTTGGTATCACTAATTTTCTCTACTATTGTTAGACACATTATTATTAGTGTTATTACTAGTGTCAGATAACAGTATATATTGTTCACAACACTATTGTTGGAGGAAAAAGACAAAGGTAAGGAAGATGATGAAAAAATATGAAGAGCAGTTGTTGGAGTGGGGGACTGTAGTCTAGGTGATGTTTTTTCATGTTTGTACTTCCATGTTTAGGTTTTCCACATTTTCTTGAAAGCACAATGGATCAGTCTTATCATTAAAAAAGTTTAAGACTTCCATAATTTGAGATGAGTCTGTGAAATCAAACTTCAAATGATGCATAGGGGTCACTACGTTTCCTCTGTGCACACGCGTGTGTGTGCTAAGTCGCTTCAGTCGTGTCTGACTTTGCAACCCCGTGGACCATAGCCCGCCAGGTTTCTGTGTCCATGGGATTCTCCAGGCAAGAATACTGGAGTGGGTTGCCATTCCCTTCTGCAGGGGATTTTCCCAACCAGGGATCGAACCTGCATCTCCTCTATTGGCGGCAGAAGCCCCGGGTTTCCTCTCCTTAATGCAAATGAAGGCTCATGGAACATGGTTGTTCTCTGAAGCCAGCCGGAGCTCCTCAGAGCTACTGCAACAGAGCCTTCCAGGGCAGCCGCCAGGATGCATGGAATTCTAACAAAAGCCAGTATGCCCACATTACCCATGAACTGAGGAGCTATCTTATTCCAACATAAAAAAAAAAAAAAATCAACCAATCAATAACGCAGACCTGAACACAAGCTACTTAGCCACTCAATTAGCTGCTAAGTCACAAGGACAACCGATGATCTGTATAACTCACTAGAATTAGTCACTGCAGCTACTAAAAATAAGCAGCATCAGAATTGTATGTGGACTGATTGTGACGTCAGTTGGCTTGTATTACCTGCTAGACAAGTAAGGCAGATAGGCCGTCTTCTATTCTTAACCCAGAACCATTGTACTCAGAGCTAGAAAGCGACAATATTCCTTTCCTCTTTGTAGAACTTAAAATACGCTAAATGTTTCCTTATAACTTTTTAAAAAATTGAACAAAAAAAAAAACTGGACTTCCCTGATAGTCTAGTAATTAAGAATCCACCTGCCAATGCAGGGGACACAAGTTCAACCCATGGTTCGGGAAGATTCTACATGCTGTGAAATAACTAATCCACAACTACTGAACCCAAGTGCTACAGCAAGAAAAGCCACTGCAAGAGAAGCCTGCATACTGCGACTGAGCAGCCCCGCTCCCCTCGACTGGAGAAAGCCCGCGCAGCAAGAAGACCCTGTGCAGCCATCAACAGATAAATGAATCGAACAACAAAAAATTTCGTGCTGAGGACTGAAATTCGTTCTAAGCCTTGCTTCCAGGATACAATTATATATGGTGCTGGACACTGGGAGAAGGGGGTGTTGCCCCTGGAAGCCGGGTCTTCTCAAACCTCTGCAGTCACCTGATGTTGGCCAGTGGCTGAAAGCACCGCTGGGCACCCCCCAACACTGGGGCCTGCAAGAGTCGGAGGACGGCTACGCGGCTGCCTCTGCAAGACACGCACCTCAAAGACTCCACACGTGCAGACCGCCGAAACCATCTCTCCCCCTGCCCGGTAACGAAGAAGAGGGATTCAACTTTACGTCTCCGCCATCTTTTCTGTATTCTCAGCACCCCTCCTCCATGCAGAACCTCTATCCACTTTCTACTGCATAGCTTTCCCATTTCTGTCTCCTCACACACCCTTGCTCCTGCAGCAAGGCTGGACTTAGGTCTATCCAAGGCCATTACCCGTGTCCTGAACCAACCCGACCCTATGCTGCCTTGTGAAGTACAAATGACAGCTCTCCAGTAACCTGTCCAAATCCACACTTTCTTTAAACTCTTCCAACAAAGCAGTGCTGAGGCACCAGACCCAAAGGATAAATGCCTTCAAATAGCTTTTAGTTCTAAAAATGTGTTATCAGAGAGAAGAGCAAAGGCATGTACCACATATATATCCTCAAAATGAGTAATGTAATACCTGTGTTGGCGCTTCTTATAGTAACTTTAATACAGGATATATTATATCATACAGACTATGACATATATAGTAAATATTATAATACAGATGACAATCCCAAAAGGTGGCCACAAAAGAGGATCAGAGCACATCCATGGAAACAGAGGTTTGTTTCTACTGTAGAACACAATCGTTCTCTCCAAACACAGACTAACCTTACTCATAGCTAAACACTTCTCCATCTTAATTAAAACAAGGACTTGATGTGATGATCTCTACGGGAAAACAATCTAAAGAAGAGTGGATATATGTGTATGTATAACTTTGCTGTATACCTGGAACACAACATTGTAAATCAACTACACTCCAATAAAAAAAATTTAATTAAAAAAATGAAATGCAGACTTGATATCCCACCAACACTTTCACTTTTTTTCACTTCATCCCACATCTGAAGTTAAGTTTCCAGTTTAGGACTTTAATTGTAAAGTAAAGTTTTACTTTAAAGTTTACATGTAAGTACATGTAAACATGTACATTGTACATGTTCCATTGTGGAAATCCATTTGTTTAGTGTTGAGGTCTGACATAAGTCTTACAGTGGACTAAGTCATTACCTGGGGAGAAGGTATACCTCGTGCCTAGTTTTAAAAGCATTTAGTCAATAAAGTTTCCAATAAGCCATAACACCAGGAAGCCATCCATCCTCTCTCCCTTCTCTTTCTGACTCTAGGCCACTACCTCCACCTTGTGGCCAGAGCTAAACTTTGGGGGTCATGGTTCCAAAGTCTCCTCTGGAATCTAAGAGCAAATACAAGGTAGAAGCTGCTTCCATTAGGGAGAGCCATCACAGAGAAGGTATTGACCAAGTAAAGTTCTCACAATACCAACCAGGGTGAGAATTCCACTTAGTCACTTGGTTACATCTTGATCAACAATTACCAATAACAAGTTTGTGGGATGTTAGGGGCTTACACAAGAATTTTCAAAACTAACGTGAATGGAACTGGCTACTGTCTATCCTGGAAATTAAACAGGAGAACTTCAGAACAAGATGTTTTTAAGCTGTGAGAGGTGGAGGAGTCTTCTAAATTTGGAAACTGCACCTGAATTCCAAAGAGGAACAGTAGGACTAGATTACTCTGGGTTTTTTTTTTTAAATAGCCAGCCCGTGGAAATGGAACTTGTTTATTCTTTAACCTAGAAGGAATTGAAAAAAAATTTCAAGGCCATTATTCGAAGTCTTGGAAAACACCGTAACCCATCCTTTGATATAGGTAGATAGAAGAATAATACAAAAAAATAAGTCAGTTCAATTAGTTTAAAATAAACCCTCATTTTCTCTTACACCTGATAATTCCACAACGATTCAGTCTCAAGTACAGTGATGAAATGAGAATGGTCCTGAGGGTGATTCAAAAACCAGTTAGCATGGACTAAGATCCACATATGAAAGACGTTAAAGTTGGGATAAATCAGACAACTTTGCACAGAAGCCTTGGCCAAATCATCAAAATGATGATTGGGATCCAAATCATCAAAATGATGATTGGGATCCAAATCACGAAGAGCTAGAAAATGTCAATATACTGAATTCTACATGAAACCAGGTAGCAGTACACTATGGTTGGTCTCTTCCAACTTCTGGAAAATAAATTAGCATGGGAACAGCGTCACGAGCACTTAGGCCAGAGACAACAGGAACTTCTGTCTGACACACCCACCAGTCAGGACCAATAACGGTGGGCAGACTCTGGGTTGGCAGATAAGGACCAGCCTGGCCTTCTAAGGCAAATACTAATGTCTACCAAGGGTGATGGACAAACGGATTGTGCACTGTTACCTTCCACCCTTCCTTTCTAAGCTTCCCACTCCTGATTGGAGCTTGTGCTTCTTTTGTTTACAAACGGAAAACTTGGACCCCCGTGAAGTTAATGAAATTAATGCAAGGTCACAAAACTAATTAGTGGCTAAACCAGGATGAGTGGCTGAGTCTAGGACTCCATACCTCTATCAACACATCTAGGTGGGAAAAGAAAAGGTTCATACAAGGTTGCTAATAATTCAAAGACAAAAATGCTAATTGTTCTGAAGAATGCTTGAAAGAGAACTTTTCGCTCCACAGTCCTACTGTCTCAGGAACTTTCACAGAAGTGATCCTGTGGTTCAAAACATATTCTTCCCTCTTTTGCAAAAGGAACCTAATATTTCCTGCCTATAAATCAGTACATCACAACATATCTCTTGAAACCTTATTAGTTGTGGTTAAAAAGAACAAAACAGCATCAGAGAGTAAGGAGTGCTATGCAGAACTGTCAATGCATACTTCAGATAGGAAGTCCCCACTGTGTGAAGAAAAAGTTGAAAAATGTTTTTCACTGATATTCCACAGGACCTTTTAAAGTTTGAAAGAACAGTTGATGATATGAGAAAAAAAAGAACTATCCTAATTAAGGATACAGAGAGAGAACCAGATATTTTTACCTGTTCTAAGGTAAGCTGTTTAGAAATGGTATCATTCTCCAGTTTTTTAATTTTCTTCATCAGTTTGTTGACCTGGAATTCCTGCTCCTGCTCAAGATGCTGTTCTAGTTCAGCTTTCTCATGCTGCAACTGGAAAATGAAAAAAAAAAAAACACAGATGTAGAAATCAAGACACTCAAGAGCCATGATAATGCTGGCTCTAAAAGCTGGTTAAATCAAGTATAGGAGGTCATCATAAAAGTTACCTTACTCATTTCTGCTCGTATATCCAAATGTACACCTAGTAACCTGCTCCTGATTCCTCTAACTTATAACCAAAAATTATAGTGCATAATCAGAGGCACTTGTCTATATGTATGTATACATATATATGTGTGTGTGCATACATACACATATATGTATATGTATATATATGTATATCAGAGCATCAAACCATGATTAAACACTGATTTCAATTCTGAAGAACATGTAAGTGGTTGTCTCTATAGGGAAGAACTGGGGATGAGGAAAGGAAGGAAACATACTTTTCAGAATATATATAACCCTTGGAGACTTGAAAATTTTTATACCTTGGCCATAGAAATTATTTAAAAAATAGAAATTTTGCAACTGTCAGTTTTTATTAAATGAATTATAGTTACTTGCATTCATACAATGTGTATAGAGAGGGAAGAGAAGTTACAATCACAAAAAATACCTGGTAAAGTATTCTGAATGCTGTTTACAAGTGTACTAGTAAGCATACTTGGCATAAAAAAACAAAAAATTAACTTCTTATAATGAGACCAACCTCACACCTTCTACATCTTTCCTGAAAACCAAGAGGGAAAGCCTCTTATTAATGCAATTAAAAGATAAGATTATGGTGCCATTGCAAAAGAAATCTTAAAAAAATGTACTCCAAACTTCAAAACCAAAAGAGAATAAAAGAAATCCAGTGGACACACAACAACTGGGGTTCTCATCAATCACTGTGCCTTACTTCCAATGTTCTCAGCTGGGAGGGGCTATTGGTTCATAGTAGGGGTTAATAGGAATGAGCCACAGGGCCTGATATTTTCAGAACCACAAGCAAATTAAGCAAAAGTTATGAAAAACAATGAAGCACACAGTTTGATTTTGAGGTCTAAGATGATCAATGCTCCCTAATTCTAGCTCCAAAACCATTTCTTCAGGCAGGCACTTCGTACCAGGCTGGTGTTAGGCAGGCATGACAACCCCCATATCTAATGTGATAAAACAGGTTACCAGATCAAGGTAATTCAGCTAGAACGTGGCAGAGCCTGGGGCCCAAACCATGCTCTAAACTCTAAACCAGAGTTCTCCTACCAGATCCTGAGCAAACCTCTGAGGGGCTGGCTAGACACTCTTCCATACACAAGTGCCTAGTGCTCCCCTGGCGTTCAGAAGGTTAAATGACTAAATACAAGGAACAATGAGTCATGGGTGCTTGCCCAGGAAAAGCTGTCCCTTTGTGAACCCACAGAGGGTGCACTGCACGAGCGCGCGCTCAGGGGGCCTAAAAACCTCAAAAGTTATACTTAATCATCTCACTTGAAACAATTTCCATTGCTATGAAAGTACCAGGCTTGGTGTTTAAGAAGAAAACAAAAATGTTCAAAACCTGACATCGTCTTTCAACACGCGAAATACTGACTAAACAGATGCTGGTTTTTCTCCAACTGTTTTTTATATGCAACTCCTAAAAAGCTGGTCAACCTTGCAGGGACTCAGAAAGCAAGCAGATGTGAAGAGGTGCTTACAGTGACAAGTCTATTTTTAGCTAGCCCATTAAAATTCAGGTTCTGGAAGATCAAGCAGTAATTAAAAGAACTAAGAGGAATGGTCAGAGACTGAGAACAGTTCTCACAAAGACCCCCAATGGAACAAGCATCAGTTATAAGGGAAAAAATAGCGCAACAAGTACTTCTTCATCTGACTCTTGCATTCTATAAAAATTACCTGTATGGTGTGTCTTCCACCTGCACAGTTGAGGCAGAAGGGAGTGAAATCTACAGTTAAGACATTATCTTTGCCCTAAAATAGTTTATGAGTGCTAAGCTTAAATGATATCTACTGGTTTTAGAAAAATGAACTTTTGTCTTAAAACTTGTAAACATTTTGCATAGTTTTCTTTAAATATTAGATGTGTTTTCTTCCAATATGTTTTTAAAAATATTTTATCCATTTACTTGGCTGCGTCATTCTTACTTATGGCACGCAGGATCTTTGCTGTATCATGCATGATTTTTCACTGCACAAGGATTCTCTAGTTGTGGCACACGGGCTTAGTAGCTCCACAGCTTGTGGAATCTTAGTTCCCTGACCACGGATCGAACCTGTGTCCCCTGCATTGCAGGGTGGATTTTTAACCACTGGACTACCAGGGAAGTCTCTCCAATATTTTTTCAACTGCTGCCACTTTTATTTCAAAGAGCCTCCTTCTTCCCTTTTTTTTAGTATTATGCTTGTGCTCTTAAGTAAATTAAAACAATAAAGAGAAAGTGTTCATTGCTTAGTTGTGTCTGACTCTTTGCGACCCCATGGACTATAGCCTGCCAGTCTCCTCTGTCCATGGAATTCTCCAGGCAAGAATACTGGCCAGGGGATCTTCCCAACCCAGGGATCAAACCTGGGTCTCCTGCATTGCAGGTGGATTCTTTATCGTCTGAGCTGCCAGGGAAGCCCAAAACAACAAAGGATGCAATCTAATGTCAAAAAATCTCTCCCCCAGACCCAAGCAGCAATTTGTCACAGAATATTAATCTGAGCAAAGGTAAGATTCTCATTGTTGTAGAGGAAAAGACTCATATACGGACAGATGGTCTAATACCATCAATAACTGATAAGGTATTTCCTTTAAGAATACTGATTCAGCTAGTAGTGAAATCTATAAAAGCCCTCAATTTTAAAAGGCTTTTTCCTTTCAAGAGCTATACCCAAAGGAAAATGTGATGGTGAAGCTGTCGTTACTAGAACTCAAGTGAGGTCCCTGGGTTATACGAACCATTTGGAAAATATCAAGCCATCCTGAGATATAACTCAACCAAAGACTCACAGTTTTCAACATCCCCCAAAGACAGACCTGGAACAAACAGCTTTGCTGCCTGTTTTGTTCTGCCATCTCTCGGGTGACAGGCAATTTAGGGGCAGAGCATAGAGTTAGTGTTCCAAACAGAACACTAGAAACAGAAAATCTGGTTCTTCTTGGAACCAAGAAACCACCAATAAAAAGAGAAATACAGCAAGAAATACACAAACAACTCCCCAGAACAATCATGAAGAGAGTTACATGGGCAAGAAGAGAGGGCAGAGAAAGAAATATTGAGCAATTAATAGCCACAGAGTTTTCCTCATAACAGTGCACCTGAGAAAATTTTAGAAATTATTTGTTTCAAACAGATACCAAGTAAATTCAAGCTACTTGGCCCCAAGAGGACTTGAACCAACACCCTGAATCCATCTATTTTTTTTTAGTTTTTTTTAATTTGGCTGCACCTCACAGCATACAGGATTTTAGTTCCCCAACCAAGGACAGAACCCATGCCCCATGCAGTGGAAGCATGAAGCCCTAACCACTGGACTGCCAGGCAATTCCCTCCACCTGCCTGTAGATGATTTCCTGGTGGCTCAGTGGTAAAGAATAGGCCTTCAGCGGAGTAGACCCAGGTTGGATCCTTTGGTTGGGAAGATTCCCTGGAGAAGGGAATGGCTACCCACTCCAGTATTCTTGCCTGAAGAATCCCATGGACAGAGGAGCCTGGTGGGCTATGGTCCATGGGCTCACAAAGAGTCAGACACGACTGAGCGACTAACACTTTCACTTTTACTTTTCAGGACCTATCAGAAAAACTAAACTCCAGTTTCATTTCTGAGTAGCATCTTCAACATGGGCGTAAAATTTAAGACATGATTTTAAATTTCTAATCAAAGGTCTTAACGTCTTAGGCATTTCTTAATCTTACTAATCAGGTCAGAGATCCTGAAGTGGAACAAAAATCATTCAAACTGAGAAGTAAATAGGCAAGTAAATTCTATTAAAGTGTTTGAAAAAAAAAATCATTTGTTTGCCTTTAATGTATCTAAAGTAAAATGCTTAAGTAGATTAAAATCTGTTGTCAGAATCAGCATTTTCTGTAAATATACTTCTTACAAAGTCAATCTCACAGATTATGGAAGAGCTTTAGAACTCTTAACCGTGCAATATATTATAACATTAACAACAAGAAACCTTGTATAATAGAAATTACATAACTGACGATCCACAAGCAGCACATTTACAATGGAATTGGGGTTATATAAATAAAGATTTGTTCCCTGGGATTCAGCATGAAAAATATATTAACGTAAGTGAAAAAGTCATAAGCAAAAACACAACTACAAACCTGGAAAATTCTAAGCACTCAAATGTGAGCATTTTCTCATTGTATCCACTTACATATGAAGTCCCAAAGCCAATTTCCAGCCCATTAAAAAACATGAGTATAGCTTTAAGTTGATCTAACACAGACTAGCCTTAAGCATCACTGAATTACCAATAATTGTTGTCTTTCTCATAATTTCCAAAGTTTTCTGGAGCCACTTCATTGAACCAGGCTTCTTATATCAGAGATTCAAAAACTCTTCTTCACTGAATGGCTTTTATTCCGGGCAAAACCTTCTCCGGCAGGTACAGGCACCACTGCAGGTACACGCGGAGGGTGGCTGCTAAGCCAGCCCACCCACCCAGCATGCAGCAGGTTTGCCAAATCCCAGGCTTGGTGAAGCATATTTGCAAGTCTGGGCCTGTTGTTAGTCCACCGAGAGCCAAGGGAGGCACGCCGTCTTGCCATCAGCCCTGGACTTGGCTTTTTTGATTCAACTTGAGGATAAACCCAAGATGCCCCCAGTTCTGTTTACACTAGTCAATGCTAACCATTCTCTGTATGACCTGAAGTTTTGCAACCAACATTCCTCATTTATTGACAACTGCCAAGAACTAGAGTCATCTGCACTGAACCAAGTAAAGGCCACCATGGGATAGTGACTATATTAAGTCATTGGATTGCCAAAAATAATTGTCATGTAATTAACACAGTAAGCCCTCTACATATGAACAAGTTTCATTCCAAGAGCGTGTTCTTAAGTTC